GGGAGGGGGAGGGAGGGAGAGAGGGACAGGGAGAGAGAGAGAGAGGGAGAGAGGAGGGGGAGAGAGGGAGAGGGAGGGAGGGAGAGAGAGAATTGCGGGAAGAGGCAGAGTTACTTTCAGGGACAAGCAGTGTTCATCTTTGATTCAGATGGGTCACCACCCTCCCAGATGCACTCAGAGCTCAGCCCCATAGGGGTCTAGGTCTGAGGGTGTCAGAAGGTCTGGTGTCACAGACCCAAAGCCCTGCTCTAAGGATGCAAACCAACAGAAACTTTCCTTTTGAAATGCCCTTTGCTGTCTCTGAATCTCCAAATTGTATATAAAAGTGACCATTCAAGCCTGTAATTCCAGCACTCTAGGAGGCCGAGGCAGGAGTATCACAAATTAGATCCCAGCCCATACAACTTAGTGACTAAGTGAGATCTTGTCTCAAGCAAAACAAAAAAACAGGCTGGGAAGGTAGCTCAGTGTGAAGGCCCTGGCTTCACTCTCCAGCCACTGGGGGAAAAAAATGGGTTTACACATTCATTCATCTAAGAGGCCACCCATCAATTTATTTGATTCTCTCACAGACTGACTAAAACCACAGCTCTGGAGTCCATCCACACAGAAAGTCTTAACAGAGACCTTAGCAGTCTCTTAGCTGAGTTGCAGATTCTTATCTGAAAGGAGATTGAGAGAAAAGCTGAGAGGCATCTAGAAGGGGTGGGGAGAGGAATTTCTTCTATGTCTCCAAGGGACAGCACCCAGCCCTGTCACAGGTGAATTTGCAGAGATGCAGACTAGAAAACCGAGCTCCTCTGTGAATGAAAGAAAGGTCTGCATAGTTTCTCTTTGGCGAGGGAAAGCAACCCTAGCTGCAGCACTTCTCGGGACAGTTTGGAGAAGGTGGAGCATGTAGGGTTGGGGGCGGTGTCTACCTCCCTAGTTCATCAGCAGCCTGGGAAACAGCAACTGAAATTGCCCAGGGTGAGAGGAGAAGGAGGCAGCTGCGAGGGGAGGCGAAGCTAAGGGCTGCCCTAGAAGAATCGTGTTTCGTTATCCCCCTAAATAGGTGGAGATAAAAAAGTGGTATGCAAAGAATGATTAAAAAAAATACACTAATTGTTTACATTTCAAAAAACTTATTACAATAAATTACACAGTGCCAAGAACGATAGGATAGGACAAGCGTGTTAGAAGTGAAGGCGAGTGTTTCGAGGAGGACTAATGGCAAAAGGTCTCTTACTGCAATGAATTTTTTACTGAAACATTCACCATGTTTGATCACCTGTCCTGTGCTGCCCCTCAAATAGTTCTGTTTCTGGTTCTGCCTTCTTTTTCCATAGATTCTCAAAATCCAGACTTCTGAAGTCTATGGTGGCGTGGGCATCAATTCTTCCAACTGGGAGTTCCCAAGACACTGGCATGCTGACCCTAGCCTCAAATAATCACAGCCTCTTCCCAATTTCAGTAGGAAAAAAAAAAGAGATTCCATTTTTTTCTTCATAATATTGTCCCATAACTTTGGTACTTGCTTTTATTCCTGCGCCATCTAGATAGGTTCACACTAATATATTTAGTAACGTTGAAGCTTGCTACATGTTTATTTCCAGCTTATAGAGAGTACCAAGTAGTCCTCACCCTCCTCGTGTTTGAGAACCACTGCTGTGGTAAAAGACTGGAAATACCCGCGGGACTGTGCCGCAGCATTGTTCAATATTCTCTGAGTTTAACTGAGTTGTTTGTGAACTCCTTGGCTCACTGGGTCATGAGAGGGAGTGGCACAGAATCCCAGGACAAGGGAGGAAAGAAAGCTCCTTACCCTGCCTCTCTGCACACACTGCTTTTTGTGTTTTGTCTTGAGCATGACACATATTTTGTAAACTCACACCATACTTTTGGAGAGGTTATGAAAGAGAGCTTAGCTTTCTTAGTTAGCCCCTCTTCCCTTATGATTGGTGAGTTGGCCTCCATTAAATTCCACGCTGAACTACTGTTTTTCAAAAACAATAAGGTGGTTGTTTCTACCTGCAACTTGCCTTGACTGATATGATTGTTTTTAAAATGTCTCCCAAACACGGCCAGGGGTTATTTGGCAATAACATGAGTTGTAGGTTTGCTCCATACTTTATATTTTTAAAACCTCCACTTTTTTGGGCAGTGGTAGTTACTGATTGCTGGCCCCTTCAGCTCAGGAGAAGTTTTGCTGATGCTGTTGATTGTACTGAGTAAAAATTCCTTGAGTGCCGCCTCTGTGTCACCCTCTGGAATAGATATGAGGTGACTTGTGTTTGTGCTTTCAAGGAACTGACAGACAAGCAGTTCAGACCTGAATTCTGTCCTCTTCTGTCCCTCCTATTTTATCTGTTGAGCCAGGTCCCAATTAGAATCAGACATTCTGAAGATTCTCATGGTTATTAGCAAAACAGTCTTTGCATCTTTGTTCCAGAAACAACCTGAGCAAGTGATTGGCCTCTGGGCGTCCTGAGAACTGACTGCAGGAGGTGGGGACTTCAGGGACTCCTTGGTCACAGCCATCTCCTTTCAGGTTTGAGTTACTGCCTGCTCTTCCCGCTTGAGCCCCTGTAAGGCATCTGGGCGCAGGAGAAGCTGCCCAGTGTGGCTTCCTGGCCTCCCATCACCCTCACAGGGTAGTAGGGCTGCTGGTCAGCAGTTAGAATAGTAGCTCTGTGAATAGCACTCCAGGTAGACTAAGTTAACCAGAGATGAAGAAGCCTTTGCTTTCTATAGGTAACACAGGTCCTGAGGATCCGAACAGCCTCCCAGGGACAGGTTCCATGTGCCTGGGCTATTCCTTCCCTAGTTCATACCAAATAAAAGTAACAAATCTGGAAATGCATTCTGATCTGCACCCTGTGTAAGCCAGGATATGTGGGGCCAGTCAACGGGAGGATTCTTCTCATTTTGGATTTGTTCAGGGGGCCTTGTCTGCCATACCTCCGCAAGCCTCTTAGCAAATGCTTGATGGTGTAGACTTAGTATCAGATAACAGTGACAGTGACAGCGACAGTGAGCACAACGGCCAGGCACCTTCTAAAACCTCATGTGTAAAGCATTCAAGTCATTTCACCTCTCCCAACTCAAACAAGTCAGTTCTGTTGTTACTGACAATTAGTCCTGGCTCGCGGATTACAATGTACAATTTAGTGAGCCCTTCTGGGATAATCATGTCTTACTCAGCTTCCTCAATAGGGGACACTTGCAACCTCTTGCCAACTTATTGCGAGACAGCCCAGCCCTGCAGCCAAGCTGACCCAGCCTGTACCCTGGTTCACCACTAACCGGCAGCAGCATCACTGTCTTCTTCAAATTCCTGATCTGTAAAATGTGGACGATCACAGTGCTACCTCATTAATTGTGAGGGAAATGAATGCATAGAAATAAGATACTTAGGGTAATGCATTGTACACAGGACGCATGATTATTTTTCCTAATAGCTGTTTGATTCTTTCCAGTTTCTTCCAAAGCCTACTAGAGTAGGAGACATGGGGGGAAACATTGATCTAGGACAGCTTCAACTCTATAATGTCTCAGGGCCTTTGTCCCTGCTGTCCCCTTTGCACAGAATGCCATCTCTCCTTTCCTCAATTAGAAAAATCCTTTCTTTTTAAGCTAAGATCAGTTTGGGTTTTTTCCTTGGTACCAGGGATCGAACTTACACTTGCGAGGCAGGCGGCGGCACCACTGAGCTAAGTCTGGACCCCGAAGGTAAGATCAGTTTAAATATTCCCTCCTCTATGACCTTCCATTAGTACCCCCTCTTGTTCTTGTTCTTCCGGTAACAGTTTCTGCCCTTCTTTGTGATCTCAGTAGCTTTCCAACATTCATCGATCAAACCATTTCCTAACCACCACCTGCCCTTTACTGAGCACGTATTATGTGCCCAGGAGCATGCCAAATGTCACTGTTGCTATTTTAAAAAATATGTTGACAACTCCATGAGACAGGGCTGTATTTTGTCAAAGTAATTTTATGTGTCTGCCTCCCCCGGTAGACTTTGATAGTGAGTTACACATCTGCGTGTGTTGTTCGTTTTATATCTCTAGGACCTGGCAGAGTGCCTAATTAATACACAGTGGGTGCACCATAAATGGGTAAGTGAATGCATTTGACCAATAGCTACTTACTTCCAAAGAATAGCCCAGTTATAAGTAACTCTGCGGTTGAGTAATCTTCATGGGTTATTCATGGCAGAAATTTACTGTCAGAATTTTTAAAAGGATTGAAAAGCAAGAAGGAAGTTAAAACTGCACTCCCCCCAGCCCTGAAGAGGAACTCCCCTGCAGCTTGCTGAGAACGTACACCACTAATGGCGAAACTGGACATCAGCATGGGTACTTCTGGCTTTAGAGCCCAAATCTTAGCTGCTGCATTATACTGCTCTTCCCACTTCCAAACACACACGTATGCACGCGCACACATGCACACACCCTACACAAATCACACTAGCACTTAATACTGTTTGGGGGAGCTAAAATTTGAAATTAAATTAACCACACAAACCATGTTGCACTGCATTGAAATCTGCACTCACAACTTCATACTATTCAGGACTGGGGGTGCAGGTCAGAGGTAGCAGAGTACTTACCCAGCGTGGGGAGGGCCCTGAGTCCCATCCTCAGTGCACACAGAGAAAATCACAGATCCAATCTTTTCAGGACTTCCTACTTCCTGTTCTCTCAGGCATTTAGGGTCGCGCTGGTGAAAAATCAGCAAAGCATAGATTGAAAGCGGGGTGGGGCGGGGGCTCAGAGCAGTAAGGTAGAAGGGGGACAGCTTCAGAGTCAGACAGACGTGGATTTGGATCCCAGCCAAGCCACTTGATGTTACTAGAAACCTGTTGCAAAACTTCTCTTGGTCTAGTCTCTTCTGTGAGATAGAGATAATACAAAACACTGCAGCATTTTGTAAAGTTTGGAGGTAACAAGACAGTGACACCCGTCGGGCTTGACTGATGGCAGGTCTCTTTAGTGCTAAGTCTCTAGTGATAAGAGCAGTGATGCCCTGTGACTCCCTGCACAGCAGTCTTGATGAATTGTTTTACACAGCTGCACACGGCTTTTCCCCCCAATCCTTCGTTTTAATTCTCCTGGCAATTTAACTTTCATATTCTTACTTCGTAAGTTGCCACATAGTCATTTTCTTAGAAAGTCAAGCTTCTCTCCACAGGAACTCTCTTGAGGTAAAGAGAAAGAAGTGGTGAATGTGAGATATGAGAGCAATTGTCATTCAGAAGTCAACTGTCATTTTCATTCCTCGGTCACTAATGTTTTTTCTCTTTTCCTTATCAGGGAGTCACTTCTCATTGGGTTCCTATTGCCAAACGGAACTCTCCTGTTTTACTGCAAGATGAAAGGAGGAGGAGGAGGAGGTAACCATGAATGAGCCACTAGACGGTTCAGCAAATGCTTCTGATTTCCTTGATTACACGGCTGCTTTTGGAAACTGCACTGATGAAAAAATCCCATTCAAGATGCACTACCTCCCTGTTGTTTATAGCATCATTTTCATCGTGGCCTTCCCAGGGAACGCAGTGGCGATTTCCACTTACATTTTCAAAATGCGGCCCTGGAGAAACAGCACCATCATCATGCTGAACCTGGCCTGCACAGATCTGCTGTATCTCACCAGCCTCCCTTTCTTGATTCACTACTACGCCAGTGGCGAAAACTGGATCTTTGGGGATTTTATGTGCAAGTTCATCCGCCTTGGCTTCCACTTTAATCTGTACAGCAGCATCCTCTTCCTCACCTGTTTCAGCGTCTTCCGCTACCTCGTGATCATTCACCCGATGAGCTGCTTTTCCGTTCACAAAACCCGATGGACCGTGGCAGCCTGCGCCGTGGTGTGGATCGTTTCCTTGGCGGCTGTCATGCCCATGACCTTCCTGATCACATCGACCACCAGGACCAACAGATCCGCCTGTCTCGACCTCACCAGTTCAGATGACCTGGCTACTATCAAACGGTACAATCTGATTCTGACGGCAACCACCTTCTGCCTCCCCTTGGTGATAGTGACACTTTGCTATACAACCATTATCAACACCCTGACCCACGGGCCTCAGTCTCACGGCTGCCTTAAGCAGAAAGCCCGAAGGCTGACCATTCTGCTTCTCGTTGTGTTCTATATATGTTTTTTACCCTTTCACATCTTGAGGGTCATTCGGATCGAATCGCGGCTGCTTTCCATCAGCTGCTCCATCGAGAATCACATCCATGAAGCGTACATCATTTCTAGGCCGTTAGCTGCCCTGAACACCTTCGGGAACCTGCTACTCTATGGGGTGGTCAGCAACAACTTCCAGCAGGCCATCTGCTCGTCGGTGAGAAGCAAGCCCACCGGAGACCTGGAACAATCACAGAAAGTCAGTGGTTCAGTCAACCCTTAAAATACTGCATTTGCTGAGAAAGAAAAGCCTGTTGATTCTTCATCTGTCACTGCTGACAAGTCCAGGCTGCTTCCCTCAATGGAATTCCTAGCAAATGCTGTGAATTTAGGTTATTCTATGCCAGAGCCGAGGGAGAGGCCACCAGTTCTTTGCAAATGTTCATTGAGGTCCTCCCGTGGATAGAAATAAGAATAAGATCCTTATCAGTAAAGTATTTGAGCATCCAATTACCAACTGGTGGAACTCAGGGCATCTGTTCCTGCCAACTTGCCTGGAAACTAAAGTCCACACATAGGCCCTAGATTAGGGACGGTGAAACTTTTAGAGACAGAGTATTCCAACTGCAACTCAGAATGCCCTTATTCATCGTGAAGTGCCAACACTGCAATTAAACTTGAATAACGAGGTTTTAGTTTAGGAAAAAAAAAAAGCATATTAACATCTTTTGTCTTAAAAGAAAAACAGTGATAGAGCTCTACGTGATACAGGCAATGTTTGTTGAAAGGTGAAAGTTTCCGGTTGACATGCTTTTCCACAGTTAATGTGATCTTGGCTGTTGCCTGCATGCTGATAATTTGTCAAACTTTGGCTAGGGTGACTTGGCTTGTGTGCTGACAGGAAGGGGTCTGCTGACAGAGGGCTCTGTCTCCCTGCTGTGGCATGCTTGCCATAGGTTTGCTGCCACTGCCCTAGGTCTTTCACCAAATTAGTGCCAAGAGAGAACAAACTTTTCACTTCTACTTCCATGACCTTTCATGAGCTGGGACATATTCCCATGGGAGCCTTAGACTGTTATTCAAAGCATCATTTGTACCTCTCTCTGTAATAGTTTATGTTCACGTCTTATACCTTTACCATGTTTTTCCTTCAGGCTTTGCTTTGAAATGAATGAACTGGGCTTTAATCAGTTCTGTAGGTCGAAGCAAGCCAATTAAATAAAATAGCTCAGGGAGTCATTGCCAAAAGCTGCAACACTAATCCTGTTTAGATATCTTGCTCTTTTATGACCACACTGTACATATATCTATTGAAACATCTGGAGTTATCCTTGAATTATCTCTTTGCTTAATTGTCAGATAAGTATAAATATTTGAGAATATACATTGTCTAGCTAATTTGAGCTCTAGTAGATGTGTGGAATAAACTGGATTTTAAAAATCACTGAATAAGTTGGTCATTGACACTATTAGATTAACATGAAACTTATTTTCTCCATGGGTGGAGAAAAGAACTATTGGACAAATCATCGCAGAATAAGGCTGGAATTGATGACTTCATCAAAGGAAGGGGCATCATAGGAATTCTTTCTTTATGACTTTCAGAGATTTCTAGGACACTGCATCTGACTTAGTCCTAATGAGGATGCTCCTCAGGAATCTGTGTCAGCTGTGTAGGAAGACGTGGGAGAAGAAAGAGGAAAGCTGATGGATCTGGACCGAGCTTCCCTACAGCATCATGGTCTTCTCTTGTCACCTTTGCAGCGCTCCTCTCTTTGGCTTCTGTAATATAGAGAGTTAGCGATTTCCCTCCAAGAGCACGACTTGTCCACCCTTGCTGTCCACACAGTACAGAGGAGGTAACCTGGGCAGCTCTCTGGTTCTCCTTTTTTCTCTCTCTCATGCTCAGGACAGCCCTGGGCCATCGCTGAAGTCCTGCCAGATGGGCCTTTGTACTAAGCTGTGCTATTCTCACCCTGGGCGCATGTCTTTTCTTTCTGTATTTCTTCAAGTCAAAGACTTCTCCCAACAGAAAAAAAGGCAACCTCAGTTGCCTTTTTGTCCATCTCAGTTTGCATCTGTAGTTTCTTTTGTCCTTTCTTCCTGCAGATGTCTAAAAAAGACATCTTATTCTGAAATATATTTTTCCCTCTGTATCTAAGGTTATTATTTTGCTCTCTTAAAGTTCTGGCTCCAACATGTAATCCCACTTTCTCAGATTTTTACCATTTTTATTACACTGGATAATTGACCTCAGCTCAAGAGCATGCATAATTTTCCATTATCCTCAAAAACCTTCCCTAGACTCAGCCCTTCTGTCATGCCACTACCTGACCTGCTTCCTGCACTGATAGGTTAGGTACAGATGACATTCTGCCCTCCAGGATTCTGCAGATTGAACACAATCATAAAGATCTGAGCCAACCTGAATTCAAAAGGTCAGTTTTATCTTCCAAAGTAGAGCTCTAGGCTAATTATGGTAGAGGCCGCCTTTTGAACTGAGGCCAAAAAAGGGAATGGATGATACTTCCCAGACTAGAATGGGACCATGATGACGTTGCCTCATACAGTTACAGGCCAAGAAAACTGAAGAGCAAAAGAGCAGAGCTCGGACAGACGAACTGTCTGAGCCTGTTTAGCTTGAGGACCAGAAGCTCAAGTCGGCTCACTGTGCCTGACCTTGGGGAACCCAGAAAACCTGTTCCAAACTCTGAGACACAGTCATCCCCACCTTATTCTTCTTGAATCATGGGAATTGTCTTTCCGTGATAAAAATGACAAAAAGTGGTAGAATGACCTCACATACTGGTGTCTGAATTTTTACTAGTTGTCAGCCTCCTACCACTATTGCTTACTGGTGGCCACCATCCTACTTACATAGGAACGATATCACACCTCCCAGTGACACGGTAGATAGCATGACTCCTTACCTGTTGGATGTCAGATACGCTGAGTTCATGTTCTCTAAAATATTGGAGAAGTAATTCTAGGGACAACGGAGGTTAAGAGTAAGAAATATTTACCGAGAGGAGAAATTTTAGCTCCTGAGAAGCGAGGGGGGTCCCGAATGGATGGCTGAGGACCCCGCCTTTCAGGGGAGGTTTTCTAAAGGACAACCACAGGGGCACAGCATGGGTAAAACTATGACCAACTACTAAGGGTTGCAAGTAAAATCGCTTAGGTAATAGTGACCCAGTGTGGGAGCAAGTCACCCAGCAAGTGTGCATGGAAAGAATGTAGAACTTTTAGGAAGGCGGCAGGTCTGCGGGTCCTGGTCACCCACTGAGGTGACTGATGTCTGTCTAGACTTCGTTAGACCTGGTGTTACCACTTGTCTCATCCCTTGGGGAAGTATGTGGGCCCGTTTATTTTGTCTTTATCTGACCTCTAACTGACACGCCTCTGGTCACAGTTGTAATATGTGTTTATCTTTTGGTCCAATTCTCTGGAGGGCCCAGCCCTGCCTGCCTGCCTGTAATATTTCTACCTAACTTAGCTGTCTATATTACTACCACTATTGTTTCATCTGTCTCTACATTTTTTGCTAGAATGTTTAAAAACAAGTCGTAGTCAACATACAGTATCACCTACAAATGTATCCACACTGATCGTCCTCAAAGCAGTACAAATACAACATACAAAATTATTCCTTCACATTATTTCATACTAATCCATGTTTCATTTTTTCTGCTCCCTCAAAAATGGTTTTACCACCACCCCCCCGAGCGAAATCAGGATTTAATCAAGCTCCATGCATTACGTTTGGTTGATATGTCTCTTAAAATTCTGTTAATCAATTACTTTCTCCTTCCTTTACTTATTACCATTTATTTAATAAAGGAGTCAAACAATTTGGCCTGTAGAATTTTGCTCATCTCCACCGTGGATTTGGTTGTTTTCGTTTGGTTGTTTATGATGTTCTTCCAACCCCTACAGGCCGTTATTTTGGAAAGCAGAGTTTCAGGTTACGTTATAAGCAGACAGAGCCGCATTTTCTCCTTTCTTGCCTCTTTCCTTCCTTGTCTCCTCTTTCTCTCTCATTTCTTTTCTTCTTACAGGAATTCTAGCCCCACTCAGCAGGTGTGTAGTGTCCGACTGTCTTACGCTTAGCAAATGAGCAGAGGTTTCAGGATACATGATCCTGATCATTCTATCCTAAAATCCCCCAGCTTCCTGTGCCTTTGTAGTTTTATGTCTAGTTTTATCAGTTGTGTATTGCTGTCTTGGTTCACTAGGTGGCTTAAAAATTTTAAGATTCTTATGCTTTTATTAGCTATGTCTTTTCTATAAAAATCTGACTGGTCCAATATCTTTTTTTTTTCCATGCAATATTTTTTTGACCATAGTTGACCACAGGTATGTAACACTGCAGAAAGCAAAACTGGATTGAAGGCAGAGTAAAACTGAAGTCTTAAATAGAAATACTTAGTTCTGCTATCACTGGCAGCTCACACTTACAGTCCCTGGCAGATCACTGGTGAATTTCTCTCTAGGAAAATACAAACATAGCCACAACATATACACAAAGGCAAATTACACAGCACAAACAGGCTCTGTTTTAACTGCCTGCTTCATGAAGCCAGGCTGTCTGACTTCCCAGCCTGTGTGCAGAACTGCGGCGCTATGCTCTTTCGCACCAAAGGAGAGTCCACTCCAGACTCCAGCAGCTCAGCCTGCAGACTGCTTACCAATCAACCTTCCGCACGGAGCCGGCTTCCTCAGACTCTTTTCTTCCGTGTGAGTGGACGGCCATGAAAAACGACAGTCTGACCTAGGCCAGTGGTAGGAATCAGGAACTACAAAAGGGAGACAAAGGAAAAGGTAAACAAAAAGTATTCTTGAAAACAAAAACCTATAGAGAACATAAGAACATTTAAAAAATCAGTCCCTCAGAGACATCTTTGAAACAGACCAGGAAGTTCTGAAGGAACAAGTGTTTGAAGAACAAAAAAGAGCTTTTGGCTACAAAAATCCGGAGCTTAAGGAGTTATTGAAAATGCCCTCCACTAACTGTCTACAACCCTATACTGGAAACGGAGAGGGCTCCAGGCATTCCTGTCCATTTATCCTCTTTGATATTTAGAAGATGTCTTGGAGGCTGGCGGTATGATGGTAGTTATTTCTATACTTCAGTTCAGGTGAAACACTCTTTGATTTCCATTATTTTGCATGCATTTCAGTGTGTGTGTGTGTGTGTGTGTGTGTGTGTGTGTGTGTGTGTGTGTGTGAAGATCTTTCTATTTAGTTCAAGCTGGTCTTGAACTCAATATGTAGCTAAGGCTGGCCTCAAACTTGCAGCAATTCTCCTGCCTCAGCCTCCCAAGTGCTGGAGTTACAGGTGTGTGACACTATGCCGGGCTCTCAGAGGTTTTTAAGGAATGGTATTTTTTAAACAGTGCATTTAAAGGGGCTGGGGATTTAGCTCAGTGGTTCCACTGCCTGTTTCGCAAGCACAAGTTCCTGAGTTCAATCCCCCACAACAAACAACAAACAAAAAGTGAATTTAAACCACTATGTTTCTTAGAGCTGGCTCTATTTGTCTATTCTGTCTCTGTGCTCACATATTATGTAGTATTTGAATATCCATTGTATATAACAACATACAATTTGTTTTCCATGATTTAGAAATGTGCCTGTAACCTAAACATATTCCTTTTCTCAAAATTCTCATTTACACTCCTAAATAATTTTTTTGAAATTAATCACAATAGCTTCTGCAAACATTTGAAAAATAAAACAAGGAGCAGAAAACACTCTGTTTAGTTTTGGGTTTTCAAACATGAGAATTCACAGAACAGATGAACCCATGGCTTACAGTTTAGACACAATATCAGTTTTAACTTCTATTCAGGTAGATTAATGCCAGCATGTTTAAAACTCTTACTATGCACAAAGTAATGTGATATATGCTGGGGAGTGCAACAGTTCCACTTTCAAATGATAACATGTTCTTGCAAACTAACTGCATTATTCATAGGTGCCTTTGAGATTATTTGATGTGCTACATTTGCATATTGAAAGTCAATGAAATGTTTATCCAGCTCTTTTTTCATCTTATCATTGTTCTAGTTATATCTTGACAAGTTTATCCAAAGGATACATTTCAGAAACATGCATCTATGGAACTTCCTCTCCCCTGTAACCTAAAGGGTGTCCCAAATATACACAGAAATATTTAGTGTGCTAGTTGTTAAATGCCCTATTTATCTATTTTAATTTGTGTAGGAGAGGAACAATAAGACTGCATTTGTATTACACACTTGTTTATCCTGTTATTACAGTATTGTAAATATTTAATACTAAAAAGAGAAATCCAAAGAAAAATTCTACATATGCACCATAAGCACTGCTCAAAAAACAGAATACTTCCTTCTTACCAAATATTTTCCAATCCACATAGTCAATCTCAAAGTTTAAATAATTGTGCTAATTTCTTTCTTTTTTTTTTGAAACGGTCTCAACATGTAGTTCAGGCTGGCCTTGAACTCACTGTGTAGTCCAGGCTGGTCTCGAACTTGTGGCAATCTTCCTGCCTCAGCCTCCCAATTGTTGAGATTACAGGCATGTGCCACCAATTCAGGGTGGTGATGGACTTTTTTCTCCTTTAAATTAAGAGGAAACCCAGAAAGCATGCATATAAAAGAATTAAAACAATGCTAAAGTTAAAGCCCTTATTCAAATTTTACTCATTAATAGAGATAGTGCTAAAGTTCAGCTTTTGTGAATCTTTCTACATTATTTATCTTAGACTAACCAGTTCCATAGCTTCTTTTTCTTGTTTCTGAAATGTTTGGAACCCTTTAACAAACAGGATTTGAATGACCACTCTTCCACATCCCCGTGGCTTTTTCTCTTTTTTTTTGGTACTGGGGATTGAACTCAGGTCCTTGCACTTGCAAGGCAGGCCACCGAACTGCTGAGCTAAATCCCGGGGCCTCCCCGTGGCTTTTTTTTCTCTCCCCCCGCACCCCATGGCATTAACTTCTCCAGTGCATGGTCAGGTATATTTGCACTCTTGGAACATGGCAATATTTTAGGAGGAGGTGTCCTATGTAGAAGAATAACATAAATGAGCCTTTTTAAGAATGAGAAATGTTTGCTTTTAACTCCAATTTGTACTTGACCAATTGTAGCATATGGAAAGTTCATGCTTAAATTGAGGCTTTGTATCACCTTTGAAGATGAGAGGAAAGGCTTCTGTGTCTGGCATCATGCTAGACTGAATCTATTGTACACCCCTGCAGTTGGAGATGATGAAAATAGCTAAATGCAGTATTTTCTTAAGCACCTGTAAAAATGCTCACTGAGCTGGCATGAAACTAAATAATCCAGGAAAAAAAAAAAGGAAAAAATAAGGGTGGGAAACTTATAAGTCAGCAGGTAGCAAACTTAGCAATTTGTCCAGCAGTCTCTGCAAAATGCTGCTAACTTTTTAGCCTGGGTTTGGACACCTGTACTAGGCTGTGGATGGTGATCATATATCCTGAGTTGCCCAATACAGTACTAGTTAATGCTGCTTTCCATTAAATAATTATTAGCAGCACCCACTGTTCTTCTCAAAAGTGTCAGAACAATATATGATCACACCAAATATGAGAACCAGGACGTAAAGTTAGAACCAGACAAAGGTGGGGATTCTAATAGGAGACCCTTGCAGAAATCTACACGTCAATGGCTATGCTCTCCATATAAGAGTCAATGATTAATAAAGCTACAGAATAGAAAAGGACATCAGGAAAAGTAGCCTGCATTGATTTTGACAGGAAAATGAATTTGCCCTTGAGTTATCATAGTTAGTATCAGGCTTGCATGTGAATGTGTTATCTGCATGTGAAAGAATTGAACTTCAAGTGGAGAATGATTTTAAAGTGATTTCCAGATGGGCAGCACCACGAGGCAATTGCAGAAGCAAATGCAAAATCTCTCTCAGGGGGCACAACTTTAACCTAGGTTTCAAAGAATTCCCACTGGTAACATTTCCATGGACAATGAGAAGCTCACATACAGAAAAAATATCACAAAAATACCAACAAAAAGGGAAAGGAAGAGAAACAGATCAAGACTAGAGGATAGAAGAATCAGACCTTCAAAGGTATAGAATTTGAGGACTATCAGATGTTGATTATAAAATAGTATATTCCTTGCATTTGAAACAAAGGGAAGCTTGAAGACATCAGCAATAAAATGGAGACATTAAAAGCGATTCAGCATATTTGGAAAAATAAAAGACTTTGGGAACTAGCAAATATCATAAATTGCAATAAGAAAACTTACCAGGTGGTAAACAAGATTAGCTACAGCAAATAGAGATTAAATGAAGTGGAAGATGTGAGATCAGAAAGAAACTATCTGAAATGAGAGCCAAAAGATACCCTCCCAAGAAACTATGCACGTTAGATCTAATCCATAGAACAAGGAGGTTTTTTATATAT